ATTGGAGAACTCTCACCACCTCCCACAAATGATCCAAATGCTCGAGCATGGAAAGTAGAGAACAATCTTATTATGTCTTGGTTGGTCAACTCAATGACCACCAAGATTGGAGAAAATTTTCTCCTTTCTGAGATTGCGCACGATATCTGGGTCACAGCCCGTGAGTTCTACTCCACTCGTGACAATACTTTCGCCATCTTCGAAGTCGAAGCAAGTCTTCACGACCTGCGCTAAGGAGAAAAGACAGTAACTCTATATTATAATTTTCTTACCCGAAAATGGCAGCAGTTTGACGCTTTTGAGGAGCATGCTTGGAGTTGTCCTGACGATGCCAAGAGATTCCGAAGCATCGTGCAACAGAAACGAATATTCAAATTCTTCTTCGGGCTAAACAAATACCTCGATGAGGTAAGAGGATGCATCCTTGGAACCAAACCTCTCCCAAACATCAGAGAGGTGTTCTTTGATGTGCGACGTGAAGAAAGCAGAAAAAAGGTGATGATGGGTGAATCGCAACTCAGCTCTAACCTTGTTGAAAGCAGTTCTTTCTCACCCGAGGCTGTTGTAGCTCTCACAAGTCGGGTGACTAAGCGGAAGGGATGGCCATGGTGCAAATACTGTAAAAGACCTGGGCACGTTCGTGGAAGATGCTGGAAGTTTCACGGGAAGCCAACTGAAAAGAAGACACTAAAGCAAGAGACTCATCAAAGCAATTTTGTCTCAACTGAGGAGGAATCAGCAGCAGTTGTTCCTACTAAAAGTCCCTTATTTAGTTTTAAACAGATCAGCCTCCTCCAGAAAATGTTTTCTCTTAATATGGTTCTTGATAATGCTTCCACAGCTCACAAAGATAATTTTTCTAGTCTTTCAACTTATTTCTCATCAAATTTCTCTGAAACCAGTATCAAAGAGTTTGAACCTAAATCTGTACCTACTACTATAACCTGTACACCACCTCTCACCTTTCTTCCCTCACTATTCCTGAGTCCTCATCAAATTTTTCTGAAACCAGTATTAAAGAGTCTGAACCTGTACCTATTACTATCAACAAATAGTTATGTGTCTATATTAGGAGAAACAAAACTCCAGTTGACAAAGATTCTAAACCAACTATACATTACCATGAGTCTATTCCAGTTTCAAGCAGGTAAGAGCACATCAGGTAATGAGTTTTCAGGCACATTTCTGATACTATTACCATTACTGACCATAATACTGAGTTAACTATTGCCTTGCGGAAAGGAACTTGATCTTGTACTAGACACGCTATACAGGATTATGTTTTATTCAGCAACTTGTCTTCAAAGTATCGTGCATATGTAAGTAAGCTTGATGGCAGCTCCACTGAACCTAAAACAATTCATGAAGCCCTTGCACTACCAGAGTGGAGAGGTATTATTCAAGGATAGATCAAGGCTCTAGAAAAGAACAAGACTTGGGAGCTGACAGAACTTCCACCTGAAAAACATAAAGTGGGGTGCAAATGGATATTCACTACAAAACACAATCCTGATGGAAGTGTGAATAGGTACAAAGATCGTTTAGTGGCTAAAGGCTTCACTTAATCCTACGGGATAGACTATCAGGAGATATTTGTCCCAGTGGCTAAGCCCAATACTATCCGGGTATTACTCTCTCTTACTTCTAATCTTGATTGGCCTCTCTGTCAACTTGATGTAAAAAATGTATTTCTCAATGGTGATTTAGAAGAAGAGGTATATATGGAAGTCCCTCTGGGCATTGAGACCACATATGAATCTCACAAGGTGTGCAAACTCAGAAAGGAACTTTATAGTCTAAAACAATCACCGAGAGTTTAGTTTGACATATTCACCAAAGTAGTCAAACATATAGGGTATGAGTAGTGTCAGTCTGATCATACTTTGTTTGTCAAAAAGAGTGCCTCTGGTAAGAAAGCGATCCTAATTGTTTATGTTGATGATATTATTTTAACAGGTGATAACATAGAGGAAATTCATAAACTCAAACTTTTTCTTGCCACGGAGTTTGAGATATAAGATCTTGGAGCACTCAGGTATTTTTTGGGAATGGAATTTGCTCGTTCGAAAAAGGGAATATATGTGTCGGAAATATGTTCTTGACCTACTGAAAGAAACAGGGATGCTTGGATGTAAACCAGCAGAAACACCCATGGAAACAACTACAAAAGTTTGATTTAAAACCAATGGCAAGTCAGTTGATAAAGAAAGATATCAAAAATTTGTGGGCAAACTTATTTATCTTGCTCATACTAGACCTAACATCAATTTGTTGTGACTACTGCAAGTCAATTCATGAACCAACCTACTGATGACCATATGAATATAGTATATTAGATCCTAAGATGCCTTAAGAAGACTCCAGGATAAGAACTATTTTTTCATAAAATAATGAACATGAATATTAAAATTTACACAGATGCAGATTAGGTGTGTTCTGTAACTGACATAAGATTTACATCTGGGTATTGTATTTATGTTTGGGAAAACTTAGTCACTTGGCGAAGTAAGAAACAATATGTTGTGTCACGAAGTAGTGCAGAAGCTGAACTTCGGCCACTTGCTCATGGAATATGTGAGGGGTTTGGTTAAAAAGGATTCTAATGGAAATAAAATTCTCGGTTACTACTCCCATGAAAGTATGGTGCAACAATCAATCAACAATCAGCATAGTTAAAAATTTTGTACATTATGATCGAACTAAACACGTGGAGACAGATCGACACTTCATCAGAGAGAAGATTAAAGATCAAACTATTACAATACTTTATGTTCCTACTAGTCAACAAACTGCAGATATTTTAACAAAGTTACTTCCCAGAGGACCGTTTAACAAATTAATATCCAATCTAGGTTTACTCAACATTTACGTAACCTAGATTGAGGGGGAGTGTAGAAATATTAAGAATAAGTTATATTTACTTTTACTGCTTTCTGTTATTTATATTTGTCAGACAATCAGGCACCGTAACAGAATGCTAGCTGTCATTTGGTAAGAAAAGTTGTTAATTTGTTTTTTTTCTTCTGTTTTGCCTATAAAATGAGGCATAAATCATTGATGTAATAAGAAGAAAAAAATGATTTTTTCCTACTCTCAAAGTCTTCATTTTTAACTCTCATAACTTCAACATTTACAGCACCATATACATAACAGTGATCATTTCTAAATAAAATTGAATACTTTTTCTTTTGCATTTGAGTCACACTCAATAAATTTTACATCTGTATTAAATTTTATATCTTATTTAGTGTGAATTGGTACTGAACCTTTACCCTAAGCCTTCACAATCATTTCAATTTCAAGCTTTATTTTAGTTCTACAGGTGGAATCTAGATTGGAAGACAGTATTCGATCCTCAGTCATATGGTCGGTTCATGCACTATCAATGAACCATATGTCTTGACTAGGGACGTGAAGATCTGGAGTAACCATAAATTAAATAGCTCTCCTGCTGAGCCTAATTATCCTTAAGGTTAGCTTATTCATGTTGAGCAGATTGTTTATGCTGTATTTGTGAATTATGTTGCCTGAGCTTGAAATGCAATTTTTAACAGCATTTTCCCTTCTCATAAAACCCCTTTGTTCTTGAGGTTGCAACTTGTTTATCACCTCAGTTACTGACAACTTTTCCAAATCACAAGATTATTCAATTACTAAAGTTTTGTTCAAATCTATAAGGAAGACTTTCATCTTCTTGCATCTTCATCAACTCAAACTCCCTCTTTAATATTAATAATTTTACAACTTTCACCTTTACACTTCCAGCATACTCTTCCTTCAAATCTCAAATTTTTTTTACCATTTTAAAATCCACCAGCCTGGGAAAAATTTCTTCTAATATAGCTAAATGGATAATGGACAGAATTTAAAAATTTTTCATGGAGCCCTCTCAATCTTAAAGAATTTGTGCCAATGTAAGATTTTCAAGTAAGGGCACTCTAACATCTCTTCTCTACAGCACTCCATAAGTCATAAACAAGCAAATATAACCCCATTCTCACAACACAATAATCATAATTTCCTCCTATAAACATTGGGGTACTAGTAAGTTCACATTTATGGTAATTCTCTGTGAATTTGATGAAGTTTAACCAATTAACAAACTTGTTTAACTCCTCACAGCCCACAAGAACAACAACTTCTGATAACATTGTTGATAGATCACTTGATAAATCCCTGAAAATATAATGGAAGAATATGGAGAGGAAAAATATAAGAAAAAAGACAAAAGAGAGTTTTCTACTGTGAAAGTGTTCAATTCCCAGCAGCTTTCCATGAGTTGGAAATACATATATATATATATATACACACACACACAAAAAGTGGAGGATAAACATGGTTGGTTAATAGCAACATTAGACCATGTATAATAGCAAGTAAATTAATTTTTAAATTATGTCATTTATCTATATGTTCTGAATTATTTTAACCATTTTTATTATTTTGATTAGTATATCTAACTTCTGTCAGTAAATTAGTTATTCAAGTATAATTGACTATTTTTTAAATAACATATTATTTTAGAGAAATAGTTTTCAAATTTAGTAAAGACCTATTCTAACTTATAATTCAAAAAAGTTTATCTCAATAATTATATACTTATTTACTTATTAAAAATTATTTAAATTAAATAAATTTTGTTATCTAAATTAAAAAAGTCCCACCGATATACTGAGTGAATTTTAATTTCACACTGAATAGTCAGCATTAATTCCTATAATACAAAACTGAATGATATATGACATACTATCGACTAACTAAACCATATTTAAGCTGTCCTAAAAGCTGGAATTTAACCTAGATACTACCAGCATGAAAAACTTTTCTACGTAACTTACATTTCCAAAACAATGATCCACTTAGAAGAAGAAGAAAAGGAAGAAGAAGAAGAAGATTAGAAACATGAAACTCAATATGCATGTGTATTATGATCTTTGCTTTTGGTGTTGCACTATTAAGACAGAAGCTCTGCTATCAAGATCTGGTTGTGAAAGCAAGTCTCCGATGACACCCAACTCAGGAAATTCGTTCCATTCGTCAAGGCCTGTTGTAAAAGGAGTTCCCATCCCTCCTCCTTTCCCAACAATAAACAGATCATAGTAATCTACCATTGATCTAAGAACCACTGCAGTCTGTGATGCATCTTTCACAGTTTCCTCCATGTACATGCCACACCCTTGCCCATTACTATTGTGCTTGAATTCTCTTAGATGTGAGGAATCAAGCATGGAGTTCCAATCCGAAACAACAACTCCTGATGATATACAATACGAATAACAGTCAAATTCAATCTGCAGTCTTTAGCATGCGCTTGGCCTAGTGGTAGAGCCTCTCTGTCGTCTTCTCCACCGGAGAAAATCATACC